ACCCACACACGAATGCAAAGCGATCCGAGCACAGAAAGCGGTTTGTCTTTGCAGGTTCAGAGGTTTTAAACGGAAAACAAATATGTGTGGATCAAAAATACACATTTAAAACTTTTTTCTGTATTTGGATTTTATTTACATGTATGAAACGGAACACATTTGTGTGTGCATTGAAAAATACAAGTGTGAATCCTTTTGCGGATCATGAAATACAAGTGTGAATCCCTCTGTGTGCATGTGTGTATTATGAGACTGTTCTGAGCCCATACTTTTATGCTAATTTCTAGGTTCATATTTGTATTTTGTGCCTCTACTGTGTCTGCATGCTTTAATGTTCAAAAAGCTCTTTATTTTTCTCACACTGCCTGTGCTGCAGTACCTCTTTTCACCCTCTGTCTGAAACCAGACAACCTGTTCTGATTGGTTAGCTGGTCGGCTCTGTTGTGATTATACAAGCGCTTAAAGATGTCCCGCCCCTTAGCCTACCATGACAATGGGTTTGAGCACTAGCCAATAAAAGCACAAGTGGTAAATAGTGATGTCACTATGTTGCAGTAGAGAAACTCCCGGTGACAAAAACCTATAACACACTACAGGAAAAGGGAAAACTCCAAATGCATAATAGGCCTCTTTAATTTAGAATGTGTTGGATTTTAATTGATAATGATTAAATTACTCCCAAGCATTTCTTGTTAAAATATTTTTGGAAGAAATCGTCCTAGTAAGATTCAAAATAACTTGGTTCCACAGTGTTACGTATTTAAACTGTTATAGGTGCTCCATTTCAGCCGTCCAAATCCAACTCCCGGGTGACGAAACCGACATGTCCCTCGAGTGTGTGAAGCCAGATTTGGCTGACTTTCTGACGTGTGGGGCGGTCAGAAAATGAAACTCATCTGTTTCACAAGCCGAGCTCAGCCTAGCCCTGTCTCATCTCAACCTAACTGTGACAACAGAGCTAATTACCGAACTTCCGATCGCACAGAGCTGACAGTCTTGTTAGCCTCCCATTTCCACTTTTAATTCAATCAAGCGTATCTGCATCATCTGGCTCATACTAAGTATATTTGGCTGCTCACAAGAGCCAAGATCCAGGGAAATACAGTTTGATTAAGGACGGGTTTAACATGAGCAATCCATACCGTGTGACACACCTTGACAGATAGCATTCTCACCTTATATTATACGATTAGATGTCCCTGTATATTTTGTGTCCAATGTTACATGCATCTATACTAACCTGTGTTTTTTATCATCGAGTTAAGACAGTAAAGTGGTTTCACGTGTTCATGGGGCTAAGCTGACAATAGGACAAGGCGGCTGAGATGTCTGCCCACACAATGCACTTAATTCCTTGATCCTGCCATAATCTTGACCTTCACTTTACCAGACGGCATGAGTGTAATAATAACAGAGACACGCTCCTCTTCTCCCTACCCCCCTTCTGTATCTACTCGTAAAGCCTTGCCCAGAGTAAGTCCAATCATTGTGCCATGAATAATCTCTTCACATCTCTGCTTTGAATTTAAATCTATACGTTTCAGCTCATCCTGACTGTGAATGTTGGGGGGGATCAAAACTTTTGCCCTCCAGTTAAAGCCGTTCTTGATTCCTGCTGGAAAAGCCTGATCACGCTCACGTGCAACATGAATTTAATAAAGGATTTTCGGCGAAACATGCTTATTGGCTTTCTTGCCAATAGATAGTTAGTTAGAGATTAGATTAATAGAGTTAATTAGCATTCAGACACTAATGTGTTTATGGTAAATGTGTAGCCAGCAGCTAGTTAGCTTGGCACAAATTGGAAAAAACAAGCATAATGTACATGGTCCGGGTCTAACGCAAACTATGTGATATGAATGCGAGACCATATGGGTTTCAGAGAAAGTGCTATGTTGAAGCAGAAGCCTTAGAGCAGGCAGATTTTTGGCAGCCTCCACCTAATGTTTGCATATTAGGGAGCGTGGCACTGGTAAACAGCCACTAAACACATCCTCAGCCCTTGTAATTTTAAGATAATGGCTTTGACATTTCAATGTCGAACCCACTGCGAGCCACAGCAAGCAGGCCTCCTGAAAAGCAGGGCACGATGGTGGGAACCGGGATGCTACTGAATGTTTTATCTCTCATCCCATTACTCCTTCTGTTCCAGGAGAGGAAAGGGGACATTCAGCATTTATGTATACATCTGGTTCTGGTACATTTAGTTTAAAAAGGATGCATGCTATATGCCACTGGGTTGTAGAAGTGATGAAAGATAACTTGGTTGGGAAAAGGCCAGCACACTAAACTCACTTAACTATAGCTTTAAAAATCATAGAAAGCAAAATAACTCTTCTTAAACTAAGATACCCTTAATGATAATAATGAATATACAAATGACTAAAAACCTCTGGCTTTAAAGAAACATTTGAGAAACCGGCTCGAGATACACTTTTTGTTATATTCCATGGAATGCTCTTAACATCCCGATAGCAATGAATATCTGAAGTACTTTGACAAAAAATCCCTAAAAAAAATAATTAATCTCTGGAAGCCGTAGTACTGTAAAAAGCACGACCAATCATTTTAGCCAGCCCGGCTAAAATAACTGGATGGCCTACCTGCCTGTCAGCCTTCCATCTGTGCACAAACTTATCTCGTGCCCTCATTGGTCATGTGCGCGTTCTTGTGTGTTGGAGGAGGGGCTCTGTAAGAAATTGAAAGATTTTTTCCAGTTGTGTATTTTCAAATTCTAGCGCACTGGTTTCTCCAAAATGACCTACCCCACCTTTAAACGTGGTTTGTAGAGTTAAAACAAGTGCACAAAATGTCCAAAACTGTGCCTTCAGGTTGATTTGAATAAACAACAAAAAGAGGGACATATCATGAATTTGCAGCTGCAATCCCTCTGCTAAGAAGCAACTTGGGCTATAAAAACACATTTATTTTCCCAAATAAATTGCAGGCAAGCGTCAGGCACATCACTTTGCCTGCATTAGAAGGTAATGCCCCATGACAGGCTGTAATTACCCACAGACGAGAGACTCAGCTGGAGAGAAGGAGTTGGGGGGGAAGAGAAAGGCAGCAGAGAATTGGTGTGTGCGCGGCTCTATCTATACATGTATCCGAGCTGGTGTGTGTGTGTGTGTGTGTGTGTGTGTGTGTGTGTGTGTGTGTGTGTGTGTGTGTGTGTGTGTGTGTGTGTGTGTGTGTGTGCGCGCGCGCGCGGCGGGCTCTGACTCAGCACATCCTCACGGGCCTCAGAGGCGGCTGACTCTTTTATTACCTAATCCAGTTTAGTCGATGAATCCGTCCCATAATCTAATATTCCCGCCATATACACGAATCCCTGACTTTAGCTATAACCGCAGCGTGCAGGCTATGCAGAAAAGAAAAGACGTGACAGAGAGGGCATGTCATTTGTTATGGGCGGGCCCACAAAACCGGCACAAATTAAATACCATTACAACAGCATGCCCAACAACATTGCGTAAAGACGCACGCCGCTCCAAATTACGCATAAATAAACAGCAACATACAAGCAACCAAGTAATGTGTGTGTTGCGGCACAAACACCAGTAAATCACACCAAGGAACTTTGCTTGGGCCCTACACTTGGCCGATACAGCAGCAAACAAATGTACGCATTACACAGCGAGCAGCAGAAGGTTTCATTAATATGGAAATAGTCTACTCACTGTTTGATGTTAATAATATCCCGCTGTCCAATTTGTGTGTAAAACAGAAAAGGCAGGCTTGGCTGCAGTGTTACGCACACAAACTTGCTTGTGTACAGTGTTCTAAATAGCGATTGGTCCAAATGTGGGCTAATTACAAGTAGCCTGTCCCTACCTGGCCCTCCCACAACACCGGGACTGCTAATTGCCACTCATCTAATATTGCTCAAACAAGCCTATGGTGTTAATATTTGGGTCATTCCAATATTGGAGTTCTGTTTCTGTCCCACCGATGACATTTCAAATAATCCATTCCAAAAAAATGCTAATATACAGATAAAATGTTGCTAATATACAGTTAAGATTGTATGTATTTCATGTTTATATGTATTACTGTGTTTTCCCAGAATATGAATTTACTTTTTTTAAGGTAACCTAAGCATATCAAGGTTGTAACAATTACACGTAAATTATGTTTAAATTATAGTTAAATCAAGAGGTTAATATCGTGAAAGGTTACTCGTATTCCACTGCTTTCCTCGTTACGTGTTATGATTGAAAGATTTCTTTAAATGTCATCTTTCCAAAACTCTTCCAAATCCTTGCTTTGTGCCAAACAGTGCCTTTCAGATAACGAGCCAGGCATAATTCCTGCAACCAGTAAAATACCCAGCAGCCCCCTCGGACACATGTCCAGCCCGGCACCGGGACTAACTGGGGTGAAAGCTCAGAGAACAAATCCCCCTTCAGAGATACTGTGACATCCATCGTTTCATTTTCCCTGCACACTCATTTCTCTCCAGCTCACACTCCTAATATTTGCCAGGCACTGCTAGCAGTCTGTGTTTGTTCAGTATCTTAAAACCAGCCATGATAAATGAGCCTGGCTGATTGTCTTTCTCCTTTTTATACTTGGTTTGTATTACATCCATGTAATCTATCTCCTGTGTATCCTTTTATTCCTTCCATATATTTGTCACACAACAGCACACAGCAAAGTTTACTCCGTTTATTTTCCCATTTTTATTTTGACATTGTCAGGTATAACTCAATTGAGGCACAAGGGGAAGTAACGTGTGGGAAAGGCAACTTGACCTCAGAGAAACACAAACTTTAAGGCAGCAAGAGTTTAAGGTTTTTCACAGCGTAGAAAGGACAATAGAAAAGTTAGTAGTGCGTGTTTGTACAGCAAGAAACTTGAAGACATTTGTTTAAATAAATCGGACAACACCCCATACACGGTCAGTGTCTCTAGGTATTATTTACAGTCTCATAGCCGATGCATCTGTCGCTTTGCAATTCAGGAATAAATGCATTTCTGGAATATTTGAAAGCAGCTTGCACAATGGCTTGAAAATTAAACTAGCAGCCACTTTAATACAAGTATCTGGAGGATGGTGCTAATTGTGTATCCTGTGTGAAAGTGAAGATTGGCAGGTTGGCCTTGTGGTTCGATGTTGCCGTAACCAGAGTTCAGCCGCACAGTTTTTGATCTATCCAGCTGAAAGGCTTTAAGACACCGAGACCCTCCCTCCCTGCTCACACAGTTTAAGTTAAGATTGTGAGTTCCATATATAAAAAGGTGAAGGAATATATACATATATTTAAACATTACATTTTGGCATTAGCAATGATCCCAATCCATCTCCTGTGCGTTTTCAAGGCACTAAATACAAAAAAAGGCAACCAGTAACTTTTCCAAAGCAATAGTAAGGCATTAATGGCAGATTTTTTTTTCAAAAGCATGATATCACATAGTCCAAAAAATGTAAACCTTTAACAAAAACACCCAATTTGGTCTTTTACCAAATACAATATATTAAGAAACCATAGTAACGTGCTTAACTTGATTTTATCCACTGTAATTGTGACATATCTTACCAAAAAAAATTACATTACAGCAATTAAGCATGATACATAATATATACTATCTCCTGTTATATACTATAAAAGGAGATTATTTTGTTTATATACACCTCGTACCCAGCTTTCAAAATGTAAATGTCACTTTCCTTCATTATTAAGAGTGCACCAGTTTGATGCCCTGCCCAGTGTCCAGAACAGCTGGAGGGAACCAGGCTAGTTTACACCTCCTGAAGCAGCGCAGACACACGCTACACAACCAGAACAGGTTGAGGCCACAGCACCAGTTGGAGAGGTGCACCATGGGATATGTAACCTTGGGAAAGTGCGTCTTCCAATGCTTGGCCACGTCACTTCCTGTGGGAAGGTGAAGCGTGTAGTCGCTCCAGCGTTTGGACACGCCGTACGCCGCCATCACGCTCCTCCCCTTGTCCGACCACTGGGTGTCGCTTTCTGGGTTGCAGTTGAACTCCACCCACTCGGAGGTGAAGTCTCCCAGGAGGGGGATGTCTCCACCCTCGGGGTCCACCCTGGTGACGGACAGCTCGGCACCTTGTGCGGCCACGTAGACGCCCTCCATCCTGCGTACCTCCTTCACCCAGGGGAGGGAGTTCTCAGTGTCCAAGACGATGATGAGGCGGGAGCAGTGGCCGGCGTTCTTCTCCTTCCACAACTCCAGCAGCTGGCCCAGGTGGAAGCTCTCAACTCCTGCAGGAGAGGAGGTTAGAGAGTGAGATGGAGAGGAGGTTAGAGAGTGAGATGGAGAGGCAAGAAACACCCAGAAGCATAGAAGGAGGAAATGTAGGATGCAAAGACAGTGGAAGTACATAGCCCTATATTTTTTATATTAAAAAGGGCTTTTTTCAAATTACATATCTTGTGGCATGTATCAGGTTCATTTGCATTTCTGTGTTATATGTGTTCCAAAGCTAAAAGTAAGGCTTCATGATTTGGAAAAAATAACTTATTGCGATTGTTTTGATTGATATTGGAATATATTATTATATATTAAGCGATATTATTGTTTTTGAAGTTTTCTCTTTCCTGGAGTGTGTTATAAAGGTTTTTGTGCATGAATGGTCTGCAAAGGCTAAAATCCCCCCCGAAACACCGTAGGTTTGCAAGTTGAACCCCAACTCCGAACCAAAAGTACTTGATCTTGACTCAATTTAGTTGAAAAAGGGGGAAACAGAAATATCCAGGTGGATGTACAGTAGAGTCACTTTTGGTTGAGTGTCCTGTTCAAGGACATTTCAACAGGACACATGGCTTTTGATGGACACTGTGGCCTAGCAGGGATCAAACCTGTCAGCTGTCACCTGCAGGAGTGTCTATATGTCTGTCTAACTGCTGTCATCTCAACCACACAGACTGCACAGACATCCACCTGGCAGATCTAAAGTACAAAGATCAGAGCCGAGGTACCAAATGATTTCCCTTTCACCTCAAATAATCATTTAGTAAATCAGAGCAGAGGGAAAATAATCATTCCTACTGCAAGCCACAATACTTGGATATGGAATTGGGCTCCTTTCACTTGCCTAAAAATCTCCAACAAGCTGATTTAGACACACTGTTGTTGCAGTACTAAAACAGGCATGTATTATATTGAAAAACACAATAAAGACAAACTACCTCTCTTTCTAATCGCTGCATGATTTAGGACTAGACTCTTCCACACTAAGTCTTTATAACTGTAGTGGAAATATGACTTTATGACAGTTGGCAATTTTAATTCAGGTAAAAACTAGCCCACTTTTCAAAAAGGTGTACAATTACCCAGCAATGGAAAACATCCCTTCATGGTGGCACAGTAATCTTCCTTGTTTGCAGCGGCACGCAGAGATAATACGTTAAGTAATTTCTGAACCGAGGCGCTGGAACTGACGCGGTGTTAACCTGCTGTGATTCTCATTTCTATTGAAGGCATGCTCGTCGTGTCACAGCAGAGCGTCTGAAACTCTCACAGAATCTTCCTTACAGCAACTTAACTTCTGAGGCAAGTCCTTCAAAGTAACTCTTTTGGCTTACTTTGTCTGATCTGTGCAAATCAGACTCTGATTGAAAGGGAGCAGAGGAAATGGAAATCAGACTGTAATGATAATTCAGTTTGGAGGGAGAAAACAATATCCACCTAATGCTACCCGACAGCAGGAGAAGCTGTAAATACAGCTTTTGTGTTTTCTTTTTGTTGTGTTCAACTCCGAGTCAAGTCTTCAGTAATTTTCAATTCTTATTTATGTGGAGAGATACAACTGATATCCAAGTCACTGTCAATTGTAATGATTGACAGTGGCACATTTTCATTTGAGGCAACTGAGTGACTCCTGTGGGACGCTGTCATAGATGAACCTGCTGAAAAATAACGCAACAGCTGTTATCATTTAATAAAGTCATCTGAATGGGTGTTTAAAATGGTTATGTAATACTTTTCACTAAACAAAAGTAGATTTGTTGCAATGATTTTATTCTATTGACTATATTTATTGTATTATAATTTTTTTTTTTTTTTACATTGTCATTCATGTTTGTTGATCTGTAAAGACTTCTGATACAAATGTGTTTTGGGATTTTCGGCTAGATAAATACAATTGTAATCACATTTCTTGAACTGTCAATGTTTAAGGCAGTTTATGAGATGTTGTTTGGAACACTAGAAGTGTTTGGATGGCGGGTGTTTATAAACTCATGAAACCTGTGGCTGTACAGTATGCACTCTAATCTAATACACATTAAAAAGGAAATGTTCTGCTCATTTTAAAGTTTAGATTTGTATCTGCTTTGACATGTCTCCATGCTTTAATGTTGAAAAAGATCTTTATTCTTCTCATACTGCCTGTGCTGCAGCACCTCTTTTCACCCTCTGTCTGAAACCAGAGCCTAGTCTGCTCTGATTGGTTAGCTGGCCGGCTCAGTTGGGATTAGTCAACTGCTTAGAGATGTCCCGCCCCTTAGCCTATCACTTACATTGTGTTGGAGCGCTAGCCAATAGAAGCGTGAGTTATGTTCAGGAAGTAAACAGCAGGATTTTAAATATTGCTTTTTTTACATCCACAGAAATAAATGAATAAAAGAGGGGCTTTAACTGTTAAGACAAGTATTTTTTCCATTGATCAAATTAAGGGGTTCTTACCAGCCAGAGCCCAAGACCCAGTGCCTTTGTGCGTGTGCCCACTGTAGAAAATCAGATAGGTGTCATGGCGGGGTCCGTCTTCCGTCCGGAGATCCAGGAAGCTGCGCAGCTTGGTCAGCACGGCCTCCAGCGTGACCCCGCTGGTGGAGTAGTCACAACCGAACGTCTGGATCATGTGGTGGGAGAAGAGGCGCTGCACGTTGTTCAGCATCCCCGTGGAGCGCATGTTGAGCTGCTGCACCTGCTCAGGGGGCAGGAGGGTGGGCTGCCCATCAGCGCTGGAGGGAGGAGGGAGATGAGAGAAAACATTTGGATTTTATTCGGCTTTTTCATCTACTGAGACTCAAGTGAGGTGGCTTTTGAGGAGCAGAGAGAAGGGGCGCAAGTATGAGAGTATGAGGTTGATCACTGCAAAAGGAAATAGCTTGAGAGGTGTGAAAGAAGCCAAATAATGAAAGAAAATCTAGAATATGGAAAAAAAGAGGGGCAAAATTGAGCAGGGTGACATGAATTAAAGTGGACCTATCATGCTATATCTGAAACATATATTGTAAGGCCATACATATATAAAACATGTCTGTGAAGTTTTTTTTTCAAAATACCAAACAGATCATGATTTTAGCCATGCCTCATTTCGCTCTATAGAGTGGCGAAGTCACGCCCATCTACTTCCGCCGCATGGGACCTTATTTC